GGTCAATGGTATCAAAAGCTTTTTTAATTAACAAACACCCCCACTGTGTATTAGGGGTGCAACGATACAGAAAATTCACGGTTTGGTTTGGTTCGATACTTTAGTCTCACAGTTTGATATTTTTTCGATACAAAAAAGAGAAATTTCCATGCCCCTTTTAACTTGTAATTTATTTATATTAATTATGAACATTTGTTCAACCTGAAAAGTACAGTTTTTTTTAATTAAATGTTGCTGAAACAGCAAGTTTCTCAGTTTTTCATTTTATTAGTGGACCTGCGCTCAAAAATGCAGCCTAGGTGAAGTAGTCGAACACAGATCCACTGATCCTTTAACACAGAGCATCTTCAGAAGACAAGTTGATAAAGTAAATTTTTAAAATCTGTATTGTTCGATACAGCACTGTTCGATACGGTTCGATACGGTTTGAAACGGGTACATGTATTGTTGCACCCCTAATATATAGGTATATGTTTGTATGTATACCTTTCAGCAAGGTTATAATTATTATTATTATTATTACATACACATGCATTTTGTTGCTGTATTTTTGTTTTCTCCATTTTGCAGGTATGCAGACAGATGTCAGGTGTGTTGTCTTGGTATATATTTCACATATCTTCTAACCCCCCTTTCAATCTTTCCCTTTACATTTCTCCTTTTTCTTCTCTTTTTTCTTATTCTCTAGATGTACTTCTCTAAGAAAAAAAAAAGTCACTGATGATGAAGAAACTAATATTAAGTTCTGTTTTCTACTGAAGTGGTTTATATTAAAAAAGAAAACAGAATAGGCCAACACATTAATAGGTCAGATGTAATAAATAAATATAATAAAATGAAAAATTGCATATAGCCTGCACCTTTTATTCAAGAGCTCAAGATTAGGATTACAGTATTTCATGCTTAGCAGAGATAAAGTTGTAGTCAGTCATATCATATAAATATTACACACAATGCCATATTGTGAGTTTTCATGCTCAGGTGGGTGGTGGGAATGACTCCCAGCTACTACTGCATCAAATTTTAGCTTCATACCTGTAAAATGACCAAGTTAAAGTCATTTTATGCTGGCTTTTGTTAATTAGATGTAACAGATATCTTAAATGGTATTAACTTGAAAATATAGACAARATATACAACACAGACACACCATTGATACTCTAAATCTCAGGGTTCAATGGAACAAGAAGTGCACTGTCACATCATTCAAACCCCCCCACCCCACACTATGKCTATTATATTTTTCATCTTATGCCAAAGTCTGGAGTCAAATTTAGGCTGCCTCCTAAAAGGGGTCAAACTAAAGCTGGACTCTGAAAATAGGGCCTTTTAAAACAGATGGTAGTCAAAGTATGAGTTTTCTATGAAYGTGGGATACAGCTGACCTTTAGAAGCAATGATTAAATGATTTAAAGCTAAATTATGAAACAAAATGCCAGAATAATTACATAAATCTGAACCCACAGTAAAAAGCTTTAAAAGTAGAATAGTTGGAATGAAGTCTTGTGTCAGAGAATTTCAAATTGAGGTTGCTGTTGAAGCTGTTTCAGATCAGAAAAAGCAGCCTGGTTTCTTACAGAAGAAGAGTTTTACGAAATGATTGAGTATTAAAATGTGTAATATAGTGTGTCCAGAAAAAAAAAAAAGTTATGTTCAAGTTGAGGTAAAATGCTGATCAGATTCTGTGAGTTGTGTGAGGAAATGTGCCAGTTTGAGGAAAGTGAAAGGAAAGAAACCGCCGAGCTCTGAGATGAAAAGCTGCTGTGTGACTTTTGATTTCTGAGCCACATGATGTCCACAGCCTGCAGCTTAATGGCCTGGGCAGCATGATCGACGCTGACATGTACGCTGCAGAGAGGGGTTTTACAGACTTGAGCAAAGGAAATTGTCACACTTCCAATTTATGACAGACTGAGTCTTTAGTAGGGTTCATTTCTTTGTTCTATTGTGTGATGTTTGCTAGCAGATATTCAAAAAAAAGACAGAATAATTTATTGCGTAATGTTTGTGTATTTACCATGCCAGTAGCAGTAATAAACATGTTGAGTGCTCCATTAATCAGTGCTGGGGAATCTTCTATTATAGTGTCTCTGTATGTTGTGATTCTGTTGACCCAGTTATGACTAACAGAGCCGTTCCAGACAACCTGTACAACAAACAACGTAATAAAAATGAGCACGATTCGTCTTCTATGAGCACAAAAACAAAATGCCAGTGGCCCATCTGAAAATGAACACTCCCCCTCACAGGTATTGACCTTGGGTTCAGATGCAGAGGCATCCTCCCCTTCCCCTGGATTAGCACTTGCCATCAGACCCTGTGCCTCTGGGTCCTCTGCCGGCTGCTGACCCAACTCTTGCCTGCCTGGGGACATCAGTGTCTCCAGCTCATGGCCATCGCTGCAGTCTGGACTGCTGACTGGAACAGAGCAGCCACCTTTCCTGTACAAAGGCGTCACAGCTGTGGAGTTCAGACCTCGGGATATTTCCCTGTTTGGAGTGGCAACAACAAGGTTAGAAAAGGAGACAAATAAAATAAACTTCTGGGAGGGGGGCATTTTGAGCTTTATATCATTTATATACATCATTATATTTTACCAAACATGCACCTTTGAGAAATCCTTGAATCCTTGTGGTAGCCATTCAAGGGTACCTAAACATTTGCTCATATAGAGTGCCACCCATTTGTACACAGTACCTCCCTGGAGCTCAGTCCCCAGCCGAGCCCTCGCCCCACAGAGCACCCCTCCCCACACAGCTCTAGTGGAACTGCAGTCTGTTGAGCTTGGAATACTAAATACTTCTCAGTCCAGTCCTTTTCAGATTAAAAAATGCATTCATCAAGAAAATGTATKTTTGGGTGCCAAGGAGACTACCKTCGTTTTACGATTCATAAGGATGACACGGTTCATGAAATATGGTTGAACTTTTCTCCTACGAATGGTTGTAAATGATGCACTGTTGCAAAGCTGTGCTGAAGTGGGAGTGTCAGAAACGGTAGGATGTTTTTAAAGAGACAGAGGCCAATTTAAAGGTGTTCAGAAAGTCAAACATAATTTGGATATATACAGTGTAGGGTTGGGGGATTTTGGCAAAAAAGAAATATCACAATTAATTGTGGTATTCAAACAATACCAATGAAAATGACGATTAATAAATAACTGGACTTGCATGTAGTTGACATTGTGACCTTGGTCTGCATTTAGTGGATTTCCTTTTACTCAGKTTTATGTCGGTGTTTCAGGTGATTAAACAAGTTCTTAAGATTAGGGTTAGCATTAGTTGTGCTGCCTKTCGCCATTGGGCTTACATGCCCACCTGACAGTGATAGTGTATCGCACACAAAAATACATCATTACGTGGCACTAATTGCACAGTGGCAAATAATTATTATTTTCACAATACACTTTTGCCCAACCCTAATACAGAGTTTTCATAACAACTGAAGGTAGTGCAGAACCGAGCTATGTGCCTGGAAACTTTGCAAAATATCCCCCGTCCCCCAACACAGATGCATCTGTTTGTTTAAACAAACTTGTCTCTTTGCAAAGCAGAGCTGTAACTGAAATAACTAACATGGACTGTGAACAAAGACTAAAATTCTATCGCTATAGKGTCATCTTACCTGGATTTGCTGTTACGAAAACTGAAACACATGCAGAGAAGGATGCATATCAGCCCTGAACAAACACCGACTATGATGCCTGTAACTGCATGGATGTCCAGCTCTGGAAAAGCATAAAGAAAATAATGTTCAAATAACCAGAAAAAAAAGATTTTAGATAGTAAAAAGCTTTTGACACATTAGTTTTCATTATAAAAATTCAACACGCAACTTGGGAAAGCAGATCTTCATTGATATTCATTCATATTTGGTGTCATTGGCAGGAAAGATTAGGAGCAGGGAAACAAACAGATGGCAGGAACTCTCACCCACCACTACACCACCACCACCCATCTCATTCATACTGTTTATTGGCAACTCTACCGAGCACATGGGAATAAAATTAAGTGCTACTCGGGATTTTTAAATGAACCTTTTTTCATTTAACTGAAGTAGAGATACGTAAACACTATTAGTTGCTCAACTGCATGCCCATATTGTGCCTCTCTTCTAAACATAAAGTACAACTCAAGTCTTAAAAGCTAAGTAGTTTACTGGGGAGTTCTACGCCAAAAGGTAAAACAGACATTTCATTGTTACTAGAGTAAAACTAAAATGCTGATTGGTCGAATTAGAAAACGTGTAATGAGATTGAAAGAATTAAACATAAACTGAAATGGGATTAAAGAAGGTGCTCTTAACAGGAAAAATGTATTGTGATGCTAATCTTTTTGACATCCACACTTTATTAT